GATCATGTAATCTAATTATAGGCATAGATGTTCAATAAATCAACAATAATTTTTGTCTTCATTCTTTGTTCGCGATCCTACTTGGTTGAGATAATAATATTAATTAAAATGATTTTTGTTTGTTTCCTAACGGCGACAGCTCCTTACTGTAATCCACACACGCAGTAATTATTAAGGAGTGTGGACTGAAAGACTCCATTATACACACGGTTTTATGGTTTTCTTGCACAATTCATTCGTAACCGATCTCACCAACCACGCGAAGTATGTCGGAAAATGATTTCCCTGGTAATGGTATGGTATTATTATATGCATATATAATTATTATAGGAGGGTAGAATAGGGTAATTGATTAAAAATGTATTTATTTTGTTTTTTTTATTAATTTATATAAAAATATATATACAAAAACTAATATTGGGAGTACATACTACATGAAATTGGAGCCACAAAAAAGGTCCACGAACGCACCAGAGTTGAGACCAACTGCCACTTTAGCCAGTCTGTGTGCCGTCTCACACCACCGACGCATTTCTTATTGATGAGTTTTATCACATTAATAAATAAGTTGGATCTAATTAAAAATATATTTAGTTTGATTAAAAAATTAATTTTTTTAAAATAATATTTTAAATTTAAATATTTTAAATAAAAAAATATATATTAAATTTTTTTTAATAAAATTCAACATAATTTGATTTTAAATTTATTTTTAATATAAAAAAATAAATTAAATTTAATTATTTATAAATTTTACATATTATTTTTTTTGAACAAGTTATCAAGGAGCGAACTCGAAGTTCGCCCATAAAAAAAAAAAATGCATCTCAAGTTAGTAAGGTCTCAGTTGACCCAAAAAGTAAAGTGCATAAATTTTACATATTATATTTATATAAATTTTAATAATTTATATTTTTACCTTGAATAATTAAAATTTATTATATTTTTAAATAAAAATAATTATTTTTAATAAATATAATAAAATAAATAATTTTTAATTATTAAAAAATAAATAATTAAAATTTTATATAAATATGTTCAATAAATTATCCCTAAACTCGTTTTTAACGCGAGTTGGCTCCAGCCCCATTTTCGGGCATGCAACAGTGGAGGGAGACAGACTTACCCCAAGAATTTAAAAAAATTAGTGGAGGAACAGATAAGTACTAGAGTTTATGACGCGTGGGTGGCTGAAACAAAAAGCCTGCACGGCTGCACCTAAAATTTCAGGCCCCATGCTTAAAAAGCAGAGCAAATACTCCATTAGTTTTGCACCTTGCTTATAAGGCTGTTTGGTTAAAAGGGTGCACCTCTAAATTAATGACTTGGTTTCAATCCTTTTCCTACCTTAAAATTGCCCTTATTTAAAAAAGAAAAAAGAAAAAAGAAAAGAATACTCCATTAATTTTAGGTTTTTCTAAGAGTATTGGGAGCCCTCTTGATCTAGGTATCTCATTGTAAAATAATATCTTTTTTATAAAATATTTATAAAAAATAAAATTAAGAGTATAATTAATATATTTTTATATTAATTATTATTAAAAAATAAACATTAATATTAATTTTATTATCAATATTAAGCATATGAATTATTTTAATTAATAAGTTAATTAAATAAATATTTATTTTTATTTATTTATTTATTTGTTTTGAACAAATTCGTAAAGGACGGATTCGAACCGTTGCCTTAAAAAAGAAAAAATGCACTTATATGTGACCTAACATCACTCGATTGAAAGTCCACGTGCATTTATTTTTATTTTTTTAATATCAATTAATATCAAAAAGTGTATTAATTCTACCTCTAATGTGTGATTTTACATTAGGAAAATCCTAAATAATAAGCCAAACCTAAACTAACCCTCTCACTTATTTGGGTGTAGTTATTATTATCATAAAAAATATTAAAAACCACTAAAATTTTAGTTTTTATTTTTAAGTAGTGTTTGAAAATATTAATTTTTTAATTAATTTTAATTTTTTAATTAATAAATATTAATTTTTGTATTAATTATTAATTACTTTTATTGATCAAATTAAATAAAATTAATATTTAAAAAAATAATATTTTACAATTTTGGTCGCTGTAACCTTGCCCCACCCGCCTCCCGAACTACCCATTGTTTTAAAGCCACATCAAGTATGTACATGTAACGCAATCATTTGAGCAAATCATACCATAAATGTAAAGGTTAAAATTGAATTAAAGCTAACGAGTGATCTTGACTTCGATTCAAAGCGAAAGCTATAACCTGGTTGTCTCCCCCTTCTCTTTCCATATCATCATCACCTTGTACGCTACACAAATACTCTATATAAATATGGTGGACACTCCATCCTCAACAACTCCTCTCAAAGTCCTAATTATGCCAATGTTGTATTACAATAGAAGCACTATTTTACTTAGACTGAATTGTTTTTTCTTGTTAGCTTTGACAGTGAATTCTAGTCCTCCACAGGACCCCATCAAATGTTGGTCTAGAAATTCCAACTGCACCATCACTAATTCCTATGGCATTTTTCCGGACCGGTGTGAGTGTCGCGCCGGAGACGTTGCGTATCCAACCACGGAGGAGGAGATTGTCAAGGTAGTCTCCGCAGCTACCAGGGCTAAGCGGAAGATGAAAGTCGTGACACGTTTCTCTCATAGTATTCCGAAGTTGGTCTGCCCAGATGGCGAAGATGGGTTGATTATTAGTACGAAGTACTTGAACCGTACGCTGAAGGTTGATGCGGCGGCAATGACAATGACGGTGGAGAGTGGAGTGACGTTGAGGCAGCTGATAGGGGAGGCCGCCAAGGCTGGGCTGGCGTTGCCGCACGCCCCGTATTGGTGGGGATTGACGGTGGGGGGAATGCTGGGGACGGGGGCTCATGGGAGCACGTTGTGGGGCAGGGGAAGTTCGGTTCATGATTATGTTGTGCAGATGAGGATTGTGAGTCCCGGAAGATCTGAGGATGGATGTGCCAAGGTGCGTGTGCTCAATGAGAGTGACAATGCTCTTGATGCTGCTAAGGTTTCTCTCGGAGTCATCGGAGTTATTTCGCAGGTAAAATCTAGTTCTATCCATGGTAATAACATCCATAGAAAGATTATATTGCTATCTTTATTCTTAGTTTGTTATTTTAATTATTGGACCAGCTCCTTATTAACAACTTTGAATGGATCCTTTTGAGATTAATAAAGGGGCATGAGAATTTAAGACAAGAATATTAGGTAAGATATGACCTTACTTCGGCTTTTCATATGTGGTGTTTTCTCCTTTGTTATTTTGATTAGGCCATAACCTTACGAATGTTCTTAATTTTTCCTTTTTTTTTTTTTTTACATTTTATGATAACTTATATAATAATAACTAATTTTTTTTTAATTCTTTTTCTTTTTTATTCGATTTAAAATTCAAATTTGAAATTATTAACTTAAATATTAGATTTTTAATCAATTAAACTGGCCAAAGGAATAACAAATGTTCTTAATAAAAACATGTAACAGTAAATTAAAACTCATTAAGTTTGAATTAAGAGAAATGAGGGAAAAAGAGAATTTCAGGTACGAAGGAAAGGAAGGGGTTTCATCAAATCAAATGGAAATCAATAAAAAATGTCCTGTTCAATTTGTCTTCTAGTTAAAAACTTTAAGTTTATTTCTTAAATTTATTTACGAAATAAAAAAAGAAGAAAATTTTAGTACATTTTGATATTTAAAATGTCAAAATATCTAATTATAGTAATTAAATATGTGAGATAGCATGTGAAGCTTAATTTTATTAAATTTATTATATAATTATTATTAGATATCTTAATATTTTAAATGTCAAAATATCTTAATTTTTTTTTCTTTTTTCAAAATACATATTACAATAGGTTAATTGCTTAGTGTCTTAAAAGTTTTAATATAACCAAATATTAAGCATTAAAATTTATCCTTTATAGGTGACTTTCAAATTGGAACCTCTTTTCAAGCGATCCATTACCTACATTGCAAAGAATGACAATGATTTAGGAGATGAAGCCATTAGCTTGGGAAAACAGCATGAATTTGCAGACATACTATGGTACCCTAGTCAACGGAAGGCCATCTATCGAATCGACGATCGTGTTTCCTCCAATTCCCCAGGCAACGGGCTATACGACTTCATCCCATTTCGCTCCACACCTTCCCTTGCTCTAGACATCATCAGAGTTGCAGGTTAATCAATCAATTTCCTACATTTTTCATTTCATATGTTTAGGCATATATAAGAGAGTAGTAGTCCAATTTAGAACAAAGTAATTAATCACGCAAAAATTTATCTCGTTAAAAAAATTTTCTGATTAATATTCATGATCAAATTACTCTAATGAATTATTATTGTTGTTAATTAATTAATTTGTTGGTATGCATAATGTTTAATATCAGAGGAAAAGCAAGAATCTTTAGGTGACACCGAGGGAAAGTGCACAGGAGCAAAGCTTTTAACGTCCCTTCTGGAAACAGTGGCCTACGGTCTAACAAACAACGGCCTGGGTTTCACTGGCTATCCGATAATCGGATACCACCACCATCTACAAGCCTCTGGAACCTGTCTGGACAGCCTGGAAGATTCCATGATCACCGCCTGCGCCTGGGACCCAAGAGTCAGGGGTGAGTTCTTCCACCAAACAACATTCAGCATTGGACTCTCCTCTCTCAAGAACTTTATCCAGGATGTCCAAAAACTGGTCGCCCTGGACCAGAAAGCCCTGTGCGGCGTAGAACTGTACAACGGAATCCTGATGCGCTATGTCAAGGCGTCCAGCGCTCACTTATCCACAGATGAGGATGCTGTGGACTTTGACATTACATATTATCGAAGCACAGATGCCATGACTCCGAGGCTTTACGAGGATTTTCTAGAGGAGATTGAGCAAATGGCAGTGTTCAAGTACGGGGCATTGCCACATTGGGGGAAGAATCGGCACCTTGCATTCAACGGAGCTATCAGGAAATATGCAAAGGCGGAGGAGTTTTTGAAGGTGAAGAGCGCATATGATCCATTTGGGCTGTTTTCCAGTGTGTGGACGGATCAGGTTCTTGGGTTGAAGGGTGGACTGACCCTTGAAACGGAGGGGTGTGCGCTTGAAGGGTTGTGTGTTTGTTCACAGGACATTCATTGTGCCCCAAGCAAGGGCTATTTGTGCCGACCGGGGAAAGTTTATTTGGACGCAAGGGTATGTACACGTGTAACTTAATTTGTGATTATTTTCATTATTATTTTTTTGGGTGAAATGTCGTTTGTAGTCCTTGTTCTTTGGTGAAATACAATCTAATCCATTAACTTTTACATTTAGCAAGTAAAGTC